TGAATAAAGCAGCAGCAAAACACAAGGACGATAAAAGCAGCAACAATAAAAACGTATTAAATTCATTAGGACACAGTACATTTCAACTTAAAAACATAATAAACTCAAAAGGAAGCTGTCACGTTGAACTGGACTGTAATTGGTCGAAATATAATAACGCGTCCCAAAAGGGAAATTCTGATTGGGCAGTTTCGTCACCTGTCAGTTATGTGGGCGGTACTGATCCAAGCTGTTAAGTAAAGGCTCTGGTTTTTGAAGGAACCCAATGAGGAAGTGAACGCCGTGACTGTGCCGAGTGGTTTGGGAAGGGGCGCAATGATGATCGCTGTGGGCATTATTTGTGCGGCGATTGTCATATTTTTATTACATTATGTCTTCGGCGGCCGCGGGCATGATCCCTTTGAGAAGGACACTCGTGAACCGCTAAAGAAGAGAGTTTACGACAAGAAAGAGAAAAATAAAGTGCTGAAGCAAGGTGAGTGAAAGTACCATTACACGCGGAGTTATGCAGGTCAAGTGTCAGCCCTAGCATTTGAACTATTCAAGTCCACTATTTGACTCATTCTTATTTATATTTGTTTGTGGATTTTTATAAGTCAGCAGACAGATGCTTAGTCAGAACTGAAACTGGAAGTTGTTGTAAATTGTGCTAATTTCACGCACTCCTCATATAAACATATATAAATAGATATAAGATGAGATCTGTGGGTTTGAAATGGACGTTGCAAAGTTTATAAAAGTGCAAGATTCCTTTGGTACTTTTGCCAAACCAAGACTGCAAAAAAAAAAGGGAGCAGCCTAAAAATCTCAGATAATCTCTGCACAAATAAAAAAAAAAAAAAGGCAGAAGGAAATCTGGACAAAAACTGGAGATCACAGTCTACAAATTTACAATAAACATTACTTGGATATTTTATGTTATTACATTGGGAAAGAATATGAGGAAAAAAGTACTGCAAAAATGTGTAAATGTCATACTATAAACTAATAAGTAAGTCACAAAAAATAGTTTTTTACCCCTCAAAGTTAGAATCCGGGGGCTCAGGGGGTTGGGAAGCGCATCTGTAACCGGAAGGTCG